GAGCCCTCTGCTCGGGTTAGTGAATGGCTACTCTCTACTTGGGAGAAGGATCGTGAAGGACGACGAGTTCGGGCTGGTGATAAAGCTGCTACTGTCAACACGGGTGACATTGTCTATCTCAAGCTCCCCAGACGTGTGACTAAGCTCAGCTCATCCACTACCGGTCCTTTCCGAGTCCTTCAACGTTGTGGCAACTCAGTCAAGCTGACTCCCATCACTGGCGCCAACCGTTATCGGTCTGTCTTTTTCCAGCCCATCGACAACGTGGTGCGGACGGTTTCTGATCCTGTCCACGACTCTGACACGCCCCTGCCTGGACCCCAGAGTCTCATGGAGTTCCTGATGAGTCCATTCCTGACAAGGCTCGTAGCGCCGAGGCCACCGTTAGCCCCCAAGTTGAAGATGATTCTTCTAAGGCCTTAGCAAGTGCTCAGGACGACGCCCACGTCAACGACACTGCTTCAAGTGCTCTACCTTCGAAGGCCTTCACATCAACCACCGGCTCTTCAGCAGACGACACAGTCATTCACGAGCCTTCTTCGACCTCCTCTCGGCCAAGGACTAAACGGGCTATTGTTCCACGCCGTACCGGTGACCCCCATCCTGAAGTGAAGAACTTCGCCTACATCACTTCTTCTGGTCGAGGTGGACTCCAATGTGGAAGGGTTATCAGCGTTGACCAAGGCCTTTACCGCTGACCGTCATTATTGATGATGATTGTATTCTGTGATACCATTGTATGCTCATTCCGGGCCCCCAGAACTGTCCTGTGACGACAGTAACATTGAGGAAACTCAAGTGAGCAAGATCGTATCTAACCGTTTCACCGTTTCGCCATTTCAGTAACGGTTGCGGTTCGCGAATTAGATCAGCTACTAAGCTTGGGTAGTTGCTTCAGCGTGTCTACGTTCCACGCACTGGACCGCTCTATCGCTCTCTACTCTGCCACTCTAGATCTATCTATGGGTGAAGTACAAAATCCAAGGAAGAACGACAAAATCCAAGGAGCACAAATCGATTATTGGGGCGGTCCATAATTACACCGTAAAGTATCAGTTGGTGTTGAGAAATGCGACAGACTGTGCACTGCCATTAGAGATTAAAGGTCTGCACTACGTCCAGCTCAGCTCTCCACCACTCTCATGTCCGATCAGCAAGGAAGAAATGAGAAGAGAACCACAACTGCTTACAATAACCCACACATAACCATCGGGTTGGAGGGGAAGCAGGAAGTTGGGAAGTTTTGGCCGAGGGATGTCTCCAAGCAGCTGAGCGGTATGTACAACATCAAACTGAAGCATCTCTACTCCTCAAAGCAAGAGGAATCGCCAAAGTATCGAGTATATCAATGCGACAGCCACGAAGACTGCCAATTTAAGGTAGCAGAATCCGAACCCAAGCAACAGTGATTGTCTCTTGGGGGACTGTCTCTAGAAATGATTTTTTTCCTTCTTAGGGGGGCTTGCGGGAAGTTCATGGTTGACAAATGGAGTACCGGAATCGGCTCTAGTAGCGGCAGCAGCTATGCAGAGGAGTGGTAAGCAATGGTGGAGAAAACGACCATCAAGCAGAGCGGTTCGCCATCTGTAGATGAGATAGCAGCCCTGGAAAACGTCTCCAACGTGCATGGGCAAATAGAAGGCAGAGTATCAGGGAGTAAATTACTTACCTTGCTACGTCTCGTCAATAACTAGTAACTCAGGACGGAGTAGATCGAGGAGCGGAAAGGCAAGAACTGAGAAGTCAAAGGAAGCAACCTCAAGTAAATGCGTGAAATGAACGAAGTCCACTAGCAATAAACCCTCACCAAGGTTCCTCGGATGACAGGTAAAAGACGGCGGGCAGAGACCAGTAATACTGGTCCAGTATGCGAGAGCCATCGACAAGCATGGAATTGGAAGTAGGAGAAGAACCAAAACCGAGTGAGGAGCCGGGTCACGCATACATGCCTTCCATATGTGCAAGAGCGTTTATGGATCCGAACTCACTAAAATGTGATTCAGGTTATCGAGAGGAGATGAGTCCCCGCAGAAGCAAGCGATCTCGGAGGAAACCAGAGTGGTGGATCGCAAATAACATTTATGCAGAAGATACCTAGAAATTCTAGGCGCTATACTGATTAAACCCGAGTCTATAACGTAGACTTTGCATGTCATTCTGAGGGCCAGAGACCCACCTTAACAAAGGTTACTTACGGTGGATACCAGCGTTGCAGAAATGTGCATCCAGGGATGGGTACTTGCGTTGGAGTGGATGTACCATACAGGATGGTCCGTAGGAACGCGAATACGTCACGTGATGCACGTGGGCCACGTCACAATGTCACGTGGGCCACCTACGTCACGTGGCAGGGAAGGGAGGGACACGAGTGACGAATGTCTGAAAACCCAATGGCGCGTAATAATCAGAATAGGTAGCAAAAAAGAAAAAAAGAGAACAGAGGGAAATCGTAGAAAGGGAAACCCGAAACCCAACCCGAAACCCGACAAGACAACCAGAAACCCGAACTGCTATAAAGGTGAGAGCTGTTACCCAAGGCAACCAGCAACCCGAATGGGAAAAGTGACAACTGACGAATGTCTGAAAACCCGATAGCGCGTAATAATCAGAATAGGTAGCAAAAAAGAAAAAAAGAGAACAGAGGGAAATCGTAGAAAGGGAAACCCGAAACCCAACCCGAAACCCGACAAGACAACCAGAAACCCGAACTGTTATAAAGGTGAGAGCTGTTACCCAAGGCAACCAGCAACCCGAATGGGAAAAGTGACATCCTTGGATTTTGTACAAATTAAGGGCGCGCGCGAAAGTTAGGGCGAGCGATATACATCCTTGGAATTTGTACAACCTCCTTGGATTTTGTAATTTACCCATCTATCCTATCTGAGATCTTGAGTTAAGTTGTGCGGTTATCTCTCTCACAGAGTCCCTCGCCTAGAACCACTCATAACTGCACAACTGCATGACACATTCCAGATCCAAAATCATAAAATTTTGAGCGTAATCGCAGTGCAGTTGGGAATGAAGGAGTAGAAACTATACAGAAAGGAAGAGGTTATGAAGAGGAGCAGAATGATAGGTACATTGCCGTATCAGAGTCTGATTAATCAGTTAAACTGATTAATCACGTACACTACTTCATGCTTAAGAAAGATAAGAGGAAATCGGAAACCATCACAAATCGTAATTACAACAAAGCCTTTGTCACAAAGGCGATGCTACTGAAGACGACTCTTTTACGTGCCATAAAATGCCTCTTTCGCAGAGGGGCTGTCATCCTTGCCACGTGCTCCTCATTCTTCTGGGCTTCCTTCGACTCCCAGTATACTTGTTACTTCTTAAGGCACAGTCTCCAGATCGTGTAACTGTGTGGCTGACAGTCTTATTGGCTGACATCACTGAGGTCCCTAAGTTATAGGCCCAATGATTCTCTAGACCCATCTGGAACTAGCGTGGCGGGCTCACTAGAACCATAATGCGGGCTCAGTAAAACCGCCGAGAAGAAAACCTAATTACCCATCCAAAACATGTCTTGGCGGCCTACGGCCGCCAATTAACGCTCGTTGTAGGGCTACAGCGCTCGCCACATGCACATCTTATCCCGCAACGCTGATCCTTGGGTCGAACCCCGTTCCCGGCACTTCTCTCTCGTTTTCTTGCATTTGCACGAGCGTTTCGTTCATACGCGTACAAGCTACATTTTACGATTGTACGGTAGTGCTAGACTGGTTGCTACGCATGGCTGTGAGATGGGAGCGATTCCCGGAGGCCCCAACGCTGAAGTGCCAGTAAAGTGCAGATTCGCCATCGGGGTTCCCGAGGAGTAAAGCTGTAAAGCTGAATGATGACCGGCGGGGTCAGCACTGTGGTTTTCACAATGTAGCGTTTTGATGGTAATCATGATATTGCGCTATATTTTTGCGTTTTCTGTATCGAGTCAATTTAGTGAGTTGTCCTGGGCGATTCGCTCCGAAGCGTAAGTTGCGGTCGTACTCCAGTATGGGCTAAGTTGGATCTCACTGTTAGGGATCGAGCCATGGAATAACACTAATGAGATGATACTATTCGTAAATCTAGAATGATAATGAATGTATTGCTTGGTAAGCCGATTACCGTGCTCAAATCTCCTGCTATTGTATCCAACGTTCACACGCATCGCCACAGTATCTAACCATCAAGCCCTTGGTGAGAGGCTTAATTTGAGTTTGGGTTCCACATCCTCTAATCCAGGACCGAGCTCATATCTTTTCCATACATTACTGGGACGTCTGATTCTAGCGTATGCTGCTCCTACAAGCTGCTCGCTCGTGGGTCGTAGTTCATGACGCGATGTCTCACTGTACCAGCTAGCCAGCCAGTGGCTGGTAC